AGGCAGCTATTCATCACCACCCACCGCCAATTCTTGGGCTACTCTTTTAACAACGAATAGTGGGATTGATCGTCACATTATAACGCCCCCACGGCTGAAAGGGCGAGCATGTTTGGTGTGACGGGGATTCGAACCCGCGACCCTCAGATAGCGAGTCGAGCGCCTTAAAAAATAGAGAGAAAATAAAATATTAGGGAAAAGTAAGGAAAGTAGGGACGGTAGAATTCCTGAAAATTTGTCCTTATGTTGATGTTCCATGATGTAAAATGGATCTTTAACACGTGTAATTATGCGGCATGCTGGTGTAAAGTGGTAGAGAAGGAACGTTTACCCGTTTTTCTCACGTTTTACATCTGTGCCCAAAATTTCATTAAAGTCAGTTTATCACAAAACAAACCTCGCTTTATCGGATTTTTGTATTAACTATTAAATAAAACCAGTTTTCAATACACTACAATTTACTTTCGACGAGTATATATGAAGCAACTCAACGACTTCCGAAAAATTCATTATAAAGATCCAATACTTGTAGTGTTTTACAATATTGTTTAGTAGTATTTTGTATGTTACTTTATGTTTCACTCTTCGAGTGTCTATGTGAAAATACTTTCTATAAACAAGTAGAGAAAATGGCTGGCGTACTCTTTTTTTCTAGCGCCCAATCTGAATATATTTAGTAAATTCGTGGTATTTTCGTGTTAACTTCCTTTTTACGTCTAAAAATTAAACTTAAATGAATCAGTTATGCTCTACACAAAATTCTTCGTTTTTCGATATTCTGTAATTCGCATTCTCTGAAAACATGCTGAATCAGTATAACGTTTTAAAAGCAATATGCTTAGCAAATAATATATAGTAGTAAAAGATTTAAGTATGTGCTCATTTCATGATTAATACATATTTGCTAACACTAGCACTACAGTATAAAACATCTTTTATACATTTCCTTCAATAAAGCTGTAAAAATAAATTGTACCGGTTTTTAAGTTAAGGTTTGTTTAATAGAACTACTAATATAAGTGGAACTAAACTAGAAACTGAATATCGATATTATACAGTAAATCCATACAAAGTTTTCTTAGGTAATCCAATATAAAAGTTGCAAAGTTATCATACGATTACTATAACAAACAGCGAATACTGTCATCCTCATACAAAAATACGTAAATACAATATTGATAGGCGTTACGTTTCTAAAAACAAATTAACTTCACAAAAGCCTTAAAATCGTGAGTAAGTATGAAATTATCCATAATTATGTAAATGTAATAATGTGATAAAAGGGATAATTATCAAGAGAATTGTGATATTTTTAATGTGACAGAATATATTTCTACTACTGCGAGAAAGCCGAGTAATCGACGTTATTCAGAAAGGATTCTATATAAAAATAAAAGTTTCAGACAGTTCCTAAATCAGGCATTTAAAAAAGAGAAAGCGAATATTTTAGTCAACATTTGGCTGAATGTTTGTTTCTGATATATATATATCATTGAGATTAAATCTTAAAACGACCATAACAAGTTTATTCCACAAAATATGCTTTATCTTTCTTCGTATATATGCAACTTTACACAGCCTTCACCGTTTGTTTAATCAAATAGTATTCCCATGATCTTTATAAGTTGTTTTCAGATGCGTGCATGGATTATGATTTTATAAGAATAAGTGGTCTCAAAAGAAACTTGATAGTACAAACAAATCATTGTATGATGTTTTACAATTTAATTTGTTGAATGTTATTAAAACAAAAACGGAAAAGAAATATTGCAATATTTTATCCAAGAAATCTATGGCCTTGTTGAGATAGGTCGAAAATTATCTTCAATAAAATCCCAGTCACCTTTTGCTGTTTTTTTTTTGTTTGTTTGAAAACAACTTCCTATTGATGTTACGTTGTTCTTCAAGCATTATACCTACGACAGTGCTTGAAGCTAACATTTAGTGTTTGTGTGTTCCGTAAATGAGGTATACACTCTTTTTTTTAATGCTACTTTCATCAAAAACATTGGTTAGATTTTTTATTGATTTATTATTTTTGTTTTTTATTATTATGCTTTATTAACATATACTGCTTTATATGGTTAGCTTAGCATATTAATTTTGGACTAACCCAAATCTTCCAAGCCGAACCTAATGAGATATTATTTGTTTTACAGTCAAAAATATCGTTAAAAGTGGGGTACCCAAATGATGAAACAATGTATTATAATCTTTATGAGTCAGAAAATTACATTTAGTTAAATTTACTCATTGCCAGATTGATTTTAAGTTTTGATCTAGGTAGGTAGATTGCTTTGATTTGAAGTTAACTCCTGATCGCAGCAAGCTATCTGGTTAGATCAAAAATAAACATTAACTGTTATAAAACATTTCATTAGGTATGCAAAATATATGTTAATCATTGAGCAATTGGACAAATAACGATTCTCAATTAATTTTAAAAAAGTATTCTGAAATCTTCGAACTCCCAGATGTATTTAGAGGTAGGTAAAAACAGTCAAGTATAGGTTGTTCACAGCAAACACAAATGTTATTATTGCCCAAATCAGGCAATCGTTTGATGTTGTCAAAGTGAATCAATGGTCGCAGTAGATTGTGTTATCATGTTAGATGTTTTCCGCCTTATGTGTCTCAGACGTCATAAATAAGACACGCGCTTGTTTGTTTGGGCGTGGCACGTGGCAGAGATAGATTGATTAGTTTTCGTATCCTGGCAACAGGCTTCAAGGTTTAACGTGCGTTGTTGCTTATGTAAACATTGCGGCTGGACTCTCAAAGAAAATCAACTGTGAATTTGAGAACCTTATCTTGAGTTATCGCATATCGGTAGTCGAGAAATACGATCAAACAAGTGGAGGCAAACGATATTGAAACTCTGAGACATGGAAAAGGGGCCGCTTTATGTTAAGCGAAATGCTACCGACAGCTCTGATAAGTTATCACTTGATGTTTAACTAAGCATGTCGGCAGTATCTGGTATACAATAACACAGCATGATCAAATCCAAAATGAAAAATAATACATGAAATTAAAACATATGAACAAGCTTTATATTTTATAACCTTCGACTTGTGAGCTTTTTACTTTAGTACATTTATCGAAGTATCGAAAACAGTTTGATTAATTGTTTGTTTGTTTGTTTTTGAATTTCGCGCAAAGCTACATAAGGGCTATCTGCGCTAGCCGTCCCTAATTTAGCAGTGTAAGACTAGAGGGAAGGCAGCTAGTCATCACCACCCACCGCCAACTCTTGGGCTACT